GGGGGGGGGGGGGGGGGGGGGGGGGGGGGGGGGGGGGGGGGGGGGGGGGGGGGGGGGGGGGGGGGGGGGGGGGGGGGGGGGGGGGGGGGGGGGGGGGGGGGGGGGGGGGGGGGGGGGGGGGGGGGGGGGGGGGGGGGGGGGGGGGGGGGGGGGGGGGGGGGGGGGGGGGGGGGGGGGGGGGGGGGGGGGGGGGGGGGGGGGGGGGGGGGGGGGGGGGGGGGGGGGGGGGGGGGGGGGGGGGGGGGGGGGGGGGGGGGGGGGGGGGGGGGGGGGGGGGGGGGGGGGGGGGGGGGGGGGGGGGGGGGGGGGGGGGGGGGGGGGGGGGGGGGGGGGGGGGGGGGGGGGGGGGGGGGGGGGGGGGGGGGGGGGGGGGGGGGGGGGGGGGGGGGGGGGGGGGGGGGGGGGGGGGGGGGGGGGGGGGGGGGGGGGGGGGGGGGGGGGGGGGGGGGGGGGGGGGGGGGGGGGGGGGGGGGGGGGGGGGGGGGGGGGGGGGGGGGGGGGGGGGGGGGGGGGGGGGGGGGGGGGGGGGGGGGGGGGGGGGGGGGGGGGGGGGGGGGGGGGGGGGGGGGGGGGGGGGGGGGGGGGGGGGGGGGGGGGGGGGGGGGGGGGGGGGGGGGGGGGGGGGGGGGGGGGGGGGGGGGGGGGGGGGGGGGGGGGGGGGGGGGGGGGGGGGGGGGGGGGGGGGGGGGGGGGGGGGGGGGGGGGGGGGGGGGGGGGGGGGGGGGGGGGGGGGGGGGGGGGGGGGGGGGGGGGGGGGGGGGGGGGGGGGGGGGGGGGGGGGGGGGGGGGGGGGGGGGGGGGGGGGGGGGGGGGGGGGGGGGGGGGGGGGGGGGGGGGGGGGGGGGGGGGGGGGGGGGGGGGGGGGGGGGGGGGGGGGGGGGGGGGGGGGGGGGGGGGGGGGGGGGGGGGGGGGGGGGGGGGGGGGGGGGGGGGGGGGGGGGGGGGGGGGGGGGGGGGGGGGGGGGGGGGGGGGGGGGGGGGGGGGGGGGGGGGGGGGGGGGGGGGGGGGGGGGGGGGGGGGGGGGGGGGGGGGGGGGGGGGGGGGGGGGGGGGGGGGGGGGGGGGGGGGGGGGGGGGGGGGGGGGGGGGGGGGGGGGGGGGGGGGGGGGGGGGGGGGGGGGGGGGGGGGGGGGGGGGGGGGGGGGGGGGGGGGGGGGGGGGGGGGGGGGGGGGGGGGGGGGGGGGGGGGGGGGGGGGGGGGGGGGGGGGGGGGGGGGGGGGGGGGGGGGGGGGGGGGGGGGGGGGGGGGGGGGGGGGGGGGGGGGGGGGGGGGGGGGGGGGGGGGGGGGGGGGGGGGGGGGGGGGGGGGGGGGGGGGGGGGGGGGGGGGGGGGGGGGGGGGGGGGGGGGGGGGGGGGGGGGGGGGGGGGGGGGGGGGGGGGGGGGGGGGGGGGGGGGGGGGGGGGGGGGGGGGGGGGGGGGGGGGGGGGGGGGGGGGGGGGGGGGGGGGGGGGGGGGGGGGGGGGGGGGGGGGGGGGGGGGGGGGGGGGGGGGGGGGGGGGGGGGGGGGGGGGGGGGGGGGGGGGGGGGGGGGGGGGGGGGGGGGGGGGGGGGGGGGGGGGGGGGGGGGGGGGGGGGGGGGGGGGGGGGGGGGGGGGGGGGGGGGGGGGGGGGGGGGGGGGGGGGGGGGGGGGGGGGGGGGGGGGGGGGGGGGGGGGGGGGGGGGGGGGGGGGGGGGGGGGGGGGGGGGGGGGGGGGGGGGGGGGGGGGGGGGGGGGGGGGGGGGGGGGGGGGGGGGGGGGGGGGGGGGGGGGGGGGGTGGGGGGGGGGGGGGGGGGGGGGGGGGGGGGGGGGGGGGGGGGGGGGGGGGGGGGGGGGGGGGGGGGGGGGGGGGGGGGGGGGGGGGGGGGGGGGGGGGGGGGGGGGGGGGGGGGGGGGGGGGGGGGGGGGGGGGGGGGGGGGGGGGGGGGGGGGGGGGGGGGGGGGGGGGGGGGGGGGGGGGGGGGGGGGGGGGGGGGGGGGGGGGGGGGGGGGGGGGGGGGGGGGGGGGGGGGGGGGGGGGGGGGGGGGGGGGGGGGGGGGGGGGGGGGGGGGGGGGGGGGGGGGGGGGGGGGGGGGGGGGGGGGGGGGGGGGGGGGGGGGGGGGGGGGGGGGGGGGGGGGGGGGGGGGGGGGGGGGGGGGGGGGGGGGGGGGGGGGGGGGGGGGGGGGGGGGGGGGGGGGGGGGGGGGGGGGGGGGGGGGGGGGGGGGGGGGGGGGGGGGGGGGGGGGGGGGGGGGGGGGGGGGGGGGGGGGGGGGGGGGGGGGGGGGGGGGGGGGGGGGGGGGGGGGGGGGGGGGGGGGGGGGGGGGGGGGGGGGGGGGGGGGGGGGGGGGGGGGGGGGGGGGGGGGGGGGGGGGGGGGGGGGGGGGGGGGGGGGGGGGGGGGGGGGGGGGGGGGGGGGGGGGGGGGGGGGGGGGGGGGGGGGGGGGGGGGGGGGGGGGGGGGGGGGGGGGGGGGGGGGGGGGGGGGGGGGGGGGGGGGGGGGGGGGGGGGGGGGGGGGGGGGGGGGGGGGGGGGGGGGGGGGGGGGGGGGGGGGGGGGGGGGGGGGGGGGGGGGGGGGGGGGGGGGGGGGGGGGGGGGGGGGGGGGGGGGGGGGGGGGGGGGGGGGGGGGGGGGGGGGGGGGGGGGGGGGGGGGGGGGGGGGGGGGGGGGGGGGGGGGGGGGGGGGGGGGGGGGGGGGGGGGGGGGGGGGGGGGGGGGGGGGGGGGGGGGGGGGGGGGGGGGGGGGGGGGGGGGGGGGGGGGGGGGGGGGGGGGGGGGGGGGGGGGGGGGGGGGGGGGGGGGGGGGGGGGGGGGGGGGGGGGGGGGGGGGGGGGGGGGGGGGGGGGGGGGGGGGGGGGGGGGGGGGGGGGGGGGGGGGGGGGGGGGGGGGGGGGGGGGGGGGGGGGGGGGGGGGGGGGGGGGGGGGGGGGGGGGGGGGGGGGGGGGGGGGGGGGGGGGGGGGGGGGGGGGGGGGGGGGGGGGGGGGGGGGGGGGGGGGGGGGGGGGGGGGGGGGGGGGGGGGGGGGGGGGGGGGGGGGGGGGGGGGGGGGGGGGGGGGGGGGGGGGGGGGGGGGGGGGGGGGGGGGGGGGGGGGGGGGGGGGGGGGGGGGGGGGGGGGGGGGGGGGGGGGGGGGGGGGGGGGGGGGGGGGGGGGGGGGGGGGGGGGGGGGGGGGGGGGGGGGGGGGGGGGGGGGGGGGGGGGGGGGGGGGGGGGGGGGGGGGGGGGGGGGGGGGGGGGGGGGGGGGGGGGGGGGGGGGGGGGGGGGGGGGGGGGGGGGGGGGGGGGGGGGGGGGGGGGGGGGGGGGGGGGGGGGGGGGGGGGGGGGGGGGGGGGGGGGGGGGGGGGGGGGGGGGGGGGGGGGGGGGGGGGGGGGGGGGGGGGGGGGGGGGGGGGGGGGGGGGGGGGGGGGGGGGGGGGGGGGGGGGGGGGGGGGGGGGGGGGGGGGGGGGGGGGGGGGGGGGGGGGGGGGGGGGGGGGGGGGGGGGGGGGGGGGGGGGGGGGGGGGGGGGGGGGGGGGGGGGGGGGGGGGGGGGGGGGGGGGGGGGGGGGGGGGGGGGGGGGGGGGGGGGGGGGGGGGGGGGGGGGGGGGGGGGGGGGGGGGGGGGGGGGGGGGGGGGGGGGGGGGGGGGGGGGGGGGGGGGGGGGGGGGGGGGGGGGGGGGGGGGGGGGGGGGGGGGGGGGGGGGGGGGGGGGGGGGGGGGGGGGGGGGGGGGGGGGGGGGGGGGGGGGGGGGGGGGGGGGGGGGGGGGGGGGGGGGGGGGGGGGGGGGGGGGGGGGGGGGGGGGGGGGGGGGGGGGGGGGGGGGGGGGGGGGGGGGGGGGGGGGGGGGGGGGGGGGGGGGGGGGGGGGGGGGGGGGGGGGGGGGGGGGGGGGGGGGGGGGGGGGGGGGGGGGGGGGGGGGGGGGGGGGGGGGGGGGGGGGGGGGGGGGGGGGGGGGGGGGGGGGGGGGGGGGGGGGGGGGGGGGGGGGGGGGGGGGGGGGGGGGGGGGGGGGGGGGGGGGGGGGGGGGGGGGGGGGGGGGGGGGGGGGGGGGGGGGGGGGGGGGGGGGGGGGGGGGGGGGGGGGGGGGGGGGGGGGGGGGGGGGGGGGGGGGGGGGGGGGGGGGGGGGGGGGGGGGGGGGGGGGGGGGGGGGGGGGGGGGGTGGGGGGGGGGGGGGGGGGGGGGGGGGGGGGGGGGGGGGGGGGGGGGGGGGGGGGGGGGGGGGGGGGGGGGGGGGTTCATAGTATGGACCATTAATAGATCTTTGAAGTTGAAGGACATTCTGCAAAGGTGCTCGTCGTTGCAGTTTTAGTTGGGGACCATACTTTTTGGGGACCATGCCTTTTCTTTGTCCCTAATAGGGGTGCCAATTCAGACTCCTATCATGTGAAAAGACTATTTCTGCGTCCCTATTTGTGAATCTTTTTCTGGTTTTGTACCTCCTGTATGTATGTTTCATGTCACGTGCCAAAGAAAAGTTCACAAATTTATCTCGAAGTCTGCTTGCATAGTTCTCTAAAGTAAAGGTTGATGATATACTTTTACGTACGAAATTCAGTTTTATGGTTCTGATATTTAGCATTGGAAGCATGAAAGATAAGCTTTGTGAAAAGAAATTATTGAGGAGTGTGAAAATGTCACTTATTACTTCAAGAGGTGGTGTGTGTGTCCGCGTGTGTGTACATATGCAATCTATAAATGTTCACACAAGTCCTCCCCTCCAGCACCCATCTTTGCTGCTCATTTGGTTGCCATTGGTCACAGTGAAAGCGTACTGTCTCCTTTCAAAGGAATGCAAACAAAAGGAAAAGTGAGACCGATTCCAAAGTAGCTATTTCGCTGTCATTGCTCCAATATGCACACCACTTTCATCATTATTTCTTTAGTGAAATGACAACCATAACCACCAAGTTTGGAATGATACACTGTATGATTAAGAATTAAGATTTATAAATCGATAACCAGTTGTAGAATTGCGTACCAAGCGTCATTGTATCCTTGACTTGCTCCTGCTTTTACACTATTTGAGTACCTAGAGAGAAAGCGTCTGCTGCAGACTCCATCTGAACAGTCAAGACTGTTGCTGGAGATTCCAAAGGTAATCGCGGAGGAATTGGAGCCAAAAGCTACACCACAAGATCCTTTGGGAGATGAAAAACATGGAAATAGTTGTTTCCCAAAACCAATTATTAAGGGGGCTTCAGAGATCCCTGCTTATGATTCAGAAGTAAACCTGACTTTGTCAACCAGAACTCTGGTAGTACAGATGCTGCAGGTGTGTATTCAGCATTGCATGAAGTGTAGGTCCAAAGTTGTGGAGATTTGTTGTTAGACCATGATTTATTATGATATTAAAGTCTCCAAGTGTGTGTGTGTGTGTGTGCGTGCATGCATGTATGTCCTGTGTGCATGGATGTGTGTGCTTCTGTGTGGAACTTGGATCTCTTGTATGATATTTTCATCCCCTCCCCCCCCCCCCAAAAAAAAATAATAATAATAATAACATTTATTATATAAAATGAAGATTTTTTTTCCTTTACAAGTTTTTTGAAAGAAAAAATTGGAGCACAACATATAATTTCCCTTCAAGAGGGGGCTTCTAAGATTAGATTATTTTATTTAGCTTGTAAAGTTGTTTCGAGTATGAAGAATTAGATAATGTACATTCTGATAGTGTGATATTGCTGAATAGTATTTGTTTCTCCTATTGTCTATGTCAAATTTCTTATATTATTATGTGGCAACTTTCTTGGCTTAGAGAAGCTCCTTCATCTTGGCTAAGATCTAAAAGAATTTTTCCCTTCAAGCTTCTAAGTCTGTTGCATAACTCAAATTTATTTTCAGGGTTGAAAGATGCTTTTGTCCCATCTCTAGTTGTTTTCAGTGATTCATCTGTTGGAAGAGAAGGGAAGAGAGATATCAATGGAGTCCCATTCAGTCAACAGCCAGGTGGTGAGACTTTCCTAATTTCCTATATTTGGGATTAAGAAACATTTTTCTTTTCTTTTTTGTCTTTGTTTGAGATATTTCATTTCCAGTAAGCGTGATTAGAATGATTGAGGAAAGGTAATATGATAGTCTTCTGCTCCTAGTAAGAGGGTAGTCAAGGCTCTTAAAGTATTTTCTGGGATTTACTTTATATATATGTTGCACTTTTGTTTAATATGCTATTGATGCAAGGAGCCTGCTTTCAATGTTGCCGCCACACTGATAATTATTAGACTTCCACTTGCTTAGCCCGAAATCTGGCCCACTTGTGAGGGGAATGTTGAATTATATAAGTATTTATGTTACACTCTCTAGCAGCTTAAGCTTTTAGATGAGATGGTTGTTTAAAAGTCTAGAATTGAGTTCTAACTTTGATTGATTACAGCATTTTCTTTGCATATTCATGAATAATTTATGTTTAAAATTTACAGAAATTCGAGCTGGCTTTGAGATTTCCAGACAGGATGGGAAAATGGGTGGTCTTTGTCACCATCTAGATTTGGTAGAAATATGTTAAAGAGTTCAATGCTTATTTTATAGCTAGAATAATAAACCAAATACAGCTATCTTTCCAATACAAGCATCTTAGCCATGTTATTGGGCAGGGACGGAAAGTACATTCACATTCAATAGGGTTCATTTCACTAAGTTATGTTTCATCTGGTTCCTGTAAGTGCATACACCAGAAAGGTGGCTGTTCCAAATTTACTTCATTTCTTAGACCTTTTATACATACTTGACGATCTATCCTGCAAATGCTGATTGGTCTGCTCAAAAGATATCAGGCTTTAAAAATTCAACAAGGTATTGATGACACCAAGTGGGATGACTCTTAGTCTTATTGGGGCCTTACAGATTTATTCATTTTACACCTAAAATTGAATCTGTTCGATTCCTTTTTGCATACAGAAAATGCCATGTATCTGATTCTTGATAGTCAGTGCTCATTGATATTTGATAAATTTGATGCAGGAGATCAATCTGCTGGTTTTGTTCAAGCAACACCCGGA